TAGACAATCGAAATGATTTCTGAGCTGATTAACAAGCAAAGAACCAGATTAATGAGTTAGATTTAAAATCTGAAGAGTCACCCTTCAAACAAGAAACAAGAAACGTCAAAGCTAAAAATGACAAATAGCTCAGGTTATTTGTTTTGTTTTTGGGTTTTGATTCTGCTAAACATCTGAATGATTTCTTTTTCACTGGAGTATCTTAGTTATGAGGAGCAGAAATCAATTGTTTTGTTTCTCTGATATTTCATATGTCCTCAGAGAGAAAAAAACAGAATTGCTTGGTTTCAGGAAGAAACTTAAGTAAATGCTGTCTTAGTCAGATCTTAGCATGTACAGAAAGACAAATCATTAACAAAGTTGAACCATTTGAGTGAGATAAAGCTGCAGAATTATTTGATTTGTAATATTTGTATGATGAGAGAGCCTGACATTCATTGTCAAACAAGAAGTGAAATCATCCAAAAATATTCTGTTGATTCAGTAAATAACAATTCTAAAATCATTGTTTTTAAAGCTATGTAAGGTTCCATTTTAAAGGTTCACTGTTTTTCTAGATTAAACTTAAAATCATTACAGGCAAAGAGTGAATGAAATTTAATTGTGAAAGTCTGTATTTTCTGAATAAGTATCTGAGTATAAATAGAAAAAGAGGGTTTAAGAAATTGAAACTGAATAGCTATTCAAATTGTGAGCCCTTTTGAATTTGTTATATTTTCTTCCAAGCAGACCGCCTTTTAAATTGGTATTAGTGTTATTTCTTCAGGCTTTAGAAAAGTGTTTCTAAGACTGGTGTCTTTTTCACTCATTTTGAACAAAGAGGTTTTATACAGACACACGTTTCTTTGTTGTTGTTGTTTAAGAGATTTCAACAGGGACATGTGGATCATTTAGACATATGTTAAATTTAAGGGATGAACCAGTGTCACTCCTTAGGAGAGTCCTGATCAGGCATTTGGCTAGGAATATCTTATAGGGTGTACACCTTGAAGTATCACAGCTTTGGGCATTGTGTGGCATAGGGGGGTCGGAGGGGTGTCCTCCCCTGGAAAATTTTGTAATTTAGACTCTGAAACTCCATTTCTTGCATTTTGACGTGGAATGCAGTTAACTTTTTGCCTTTGTTACAACACTACTTTTGTCCTGATTGTGGGAAGTATGTGTGCTTGGCTAGAGGTGGAAATTTCATAAGGAATACTTGACATAATTTTTAGGTACAATATTATGTTTCAAAGGTTAATACAAACAGTCAGAAAGTGTAATGCTACGTTCACACCTCACACGCCTTAAGCTGCTTCATTTTTTATGCTTGTATGCATAAAGGTCAGATGCACCTTAAGAGCATCTTTGATGCTCCTGAGGCACGCCCAGTAAATTGTGTCCAGATGTGTCTGATGCTTCTATTTCTCCTGTGTTTAATGGCAGAAAGTGGCTTTGCTATATTTGCTGTGATAAGCTGGTAAAAAGTAGTTTAAATATATTTTTATGCGAGAAAGTCCACCTCAAAATATCGTCTGTGCAGTCAGGTCATCAAGATTATCATCCTGCCTTGAAATATTATTTTGCTGTCGGCGGCGCTCAAACTCCCACATACTGGCGGTTCCCTGTCACTGAGAATCCCCAGCAGCAGCTGCCTCAGGGCCGGTTGCCTCTTGGGGTTTTTCTCCTACTGTTCATGGTGGATGGAAGTGGATGTTAGCATTTTTCAGGTATATGGTACAAACTGCAGGCACCAGAGTAATAAAAGCGAACATATTTTTGAGGCAGGTTTTAAAATTTTAAGTTAATTTAGGCATTATTAACTGGAGTGGTCATAAAGATCAACATCAGCAGCGCTGTGTCTGTCTCCCAGGGAGCTCGGAGATTAGCTTCTCTGATTTGTTGATATGGCAAGTTCAGCAGCAATATTTCTATTTTTCCAACTCAATTATCTGCTGCTTGGAACATTTTTAACATTTGAGCAAAGTTTCAGGGGGAAAATTAGGGCGTACCAAAGCCATACGTCCAAAAAACAGGACAATTTCTAGCATTTTTAGTAAAGGGTGTACAATGTACGCCTGTATGCATTACTGCCTAAAAACCTGGTGCTAATAAAACTATCCAATATGATAACGATATTGTAGTTTTGAGAACTGGCCAATACCAATATTGACCTGATATATTAGTATGAATCATACCAACTTTTTTAACGTATTTTATACTGTAGAAAGTCAGAATATGCTTGATGAAGTAATATCACTAAAAAAGGGGAACACAATTCAAGAAAAAAAGGTATAAAAACAACTAACCCATGAAAAATTAACCAATGAGTTACAGAAATCTTTAGGAGAAACAGATTCTTTCTCCATGAAAATATCTGAGATTTTAGAATCTGGCCGATAAAATCCAATATTATTTTTATGGCTAAGATTGGACCGATATCCGATATTAATATTGAATCAGTAAATCTCTATCATTCACACATATGACACATGTTCCCATAGAACATATTCAATTGGAACTGTACCTTATTACCTGCCAGTCATCCAAAAGAATACATCTATAAAGCTGAAATGGAATTAGGAAAATGTCACTGCAGTTTTCCTGACAGAAATGTTATATATGTTTTTCACCAACACAGTGATTTCTGCAATGCTTTAGTGGAAAAGCCATTATACAATAATATGTGTTTATATATTGTATGTTTGGTACTTTCCTGATTTTTACTTAACTCTTTTTAGAGATGATTTAAAAATTCCTGTTTTGTTAATCACAGATATGTCCACTCTCTTGATTCTTTTTTAAGCTTTATTATATATTTTTTCACAGACATCGTCACAATATCAGTGTGTCGAATGCTGCTATTGCAATAGACTGTTTGGATCAAATAGTTTGTAGGTTCTTATATCCAAAGTGTCTGGATAGTGTCTAATTGTCCTTAATGCACAAAGTTGACCCGTCTTTTGGGGCTGAATCTAATGAGCAGTTGAGAAATGTTTTTATTTTTAGAAAAAGAAAAGAGTCAATGTTGCACATATTTCTAAAAATATGCTAACCTGCTTGACCACAAACTGCACCACATGCTGTTAAAACTCTTGTACTGAACATATACCAGACTAAAATTGAGCAACAAGTAACCAAAGTTGAAGTAAAATTTGAAAAAGCAGGAGAGATTGTGTTTAAGGCCATTTTAAAAGACTGTTTCCTTGGAGGCAGAGCATAATGATGTTGGCTTTGGTTTACACTTCTGCACAGTGCTGCTCATTCAGTTAGAGCTACAGTTTGAAGAGCGAACTGAGCTTCAAGCGGCACCAAATTCCAATAAAATACAAAAACTCTGCCATATATTTGTAATTATTTGAAATAATAAAGGAGTTTCTGAACTGTTCATTTACTCACAGCTTTAGGGACAAGTCAAAAATGTGATTTCAAATATCTCCTCTATCTTCTGACTTGAATTGTTTTTCATGGAGCTCTGAATAAGACAGAGTTTTAGCTCAACAGCACCACCATCATCTCCAAGCAGGGAGTCCACTTCCAGTATTCAGTTTAAAATCAGATTTCAATTGTCCAAGGCAATTCTCTGGGATCTAATGTTTAAAGGTATTTGTGAAATAAAGAATGGATTTTGTTTTGAGGTTGTTTTTTATGTTGTTGTTTTGTTTTTTTGTTTTTTTGTAGTGACTCACCTGATCTGGTTGAATTCTTACAATTTTTTTAATGTTGATTTATTACTGATTTGTGCACTGGCAGGGCTGCAGTCTGGGTAAGAGAGTCTTTGAAGCGAAAGAACAAGGTTAGATCACAAAGCCCAGCAGCAAAATCTAAATGCACAGTGGTTGCTGTGCTTATTGTTTCCCACAGAAAGAACAACTCTTCAAATATTGTTCAGTTTTCTGCAAGATTTAAAAACAAATGCTGATTGATTTTTTTTTTTTTTCTAGATTAGAAGACTGGATTATGGAACTCTTTAACATAAGGGCCTATGATTTAGTTTTGTCTTTTTCACTAAACCATCTCACTTTTTATTACACAATTTAAAGATTTTAAATGGACTTTTCTGTGGCTCACGTTTGTGATCGCACTTCCTGTTCATGGGTCGGTCAGCCTCTTCTGTGCTTCTCAGTTGGAGCAGCACTGTCCTCCCTGCCTCTTGCTCTCTGCTTGCAAGACTGCATGCATCATTAAGCTGACCAGCGCTGTGTGCAGGAGAACACAGATATAAACAAGCTCCAAGCACCTCGCTAATGCAGTTTGTCTTCTTTATGGCCCATTTTGCTCACTGAACATGGATAGGGCTGAAAGGAGCTCTGTGGCTATAATTAAAAGAGGAGCCAGTGAACCTTTGCTGCTGTTTGTGTTGTAATTTTCTGCATTGCTGCTCATTTCCAGAGTGTGAAGTTCATTAGCTGTGTTAACAAAACAAAAAAAAAAAATCTAGAGTTTTTCATTGGTAGCGAAGGGTTGTTATTTTGCTTCCATTTCAGATATTTTAAACTGTTTTCAAAGAGAGAATTAGAATTTTAACTCCAGTGTTAGAGATCTCATTGTTTACAAAAATACTGCTCTGCCTTCTAATCATATTACCTTACAGATTCCTCATTGTTAGAGGAAATTGATGTAAATCCAGTCTCTCATACCCTGGTGGTTTGAGGTTCACCCACTTAGAGATCATCCAACCTAAGCCATCTCAGAGCTGCATGGAGATTATTGTCATTCCACCTTGAGCCTGTTTTGTTAAACTAAGTGTACATGTGCAGAAGGACATGTTTTCTGTGTATATATAAGGATCAAACAGTTTTTATTCATTTTTTATGTGCAACTTAAGTCAGGACTTCCCAGTTTAAAAAGAAACTGCCATAATATTATTATGTAAAAAATAAAGAGCAGTGTTTGGTGCGTTGGGCCATTGGTTTGCAGTATACTTCTACTTTCCAATAGTGAACTGTAGAAACACACAGTTACATCTGCATTGCTTTAAAAAAAGAACAGAATGTTTCACTTAGTTTGGATGTTTTTACCTTTATGAGCTTGCACCTGATCTGCGCGGACACCATGTGGCTGTTGCGCAGATTACCCACTCGGAACATGAGGCACAGTTTGCCGTCTCTTTGGGAAATCACAGCGTCCTGACTGAACATGAGCGTTTCCGCGCGTTTCTTGGGCTGAGACATTTTGATGAACATGCAGCCGATGAGGAAGGCATCCACTATGGAGCCCAGCAGCGACTGGAACAGGAAGAGGATGATCCCCTCCGGACACTTCTCGGTGATGTAGCGGTAGCCGTAACCGATGGTGGCCTCGGTCTCAATGAAAAAGAGGAACGCTGATGGGAAGTTGTATACGTTCGCCACGCAGGGGGTGTAGGAGGAATCGTGGCCGTGATTTAGATCCCCCCTGATGTAGGCAATGATCCACCACATTGATGCCATGACGAGCCAAGCGATGGTGTAAGTGAGGATGAAGATGAGCAGGTTCCAGCGCCACTTAAGGTCTACAAGAGTGGTGAACAGGTCGGAGAGGTACCTGCTGGTCTCCCCACCGAGGTTTCCGTGCTGCACGTTGCAGCGGCCGTTCTTGTCCACGAAGCGTTGGCGTTTTTTCTTGACCGGGGCAGAAAAAGTAGTTGCCCGGTTGGTGTTCACCACCTGATAGTCTTCCCCAAATTTCCTCCGAAGTGCCGCCATGTCAGCCAGGCCGGTGTAACTAGAGTAATATTTACAGTTTAATCCATTGTGTGTTTAGAGTTTTAGTCTCCAACAGGCTGGTTACCTGCAGTGCGTAAAATGCGCCATGGCCACTTCAGTGCGCACAGCGCGTCTTTGGAATGGCGGAAATTACGCAAAACAAATTCCTTCTATCTCTTTGCTTTTACAGCACCGTTTATGTCCACCTGATTAAAAATCTCCAATGTCGTTTGGATTCTTTCTCGTGGCGCCGGCGGGTCTCCGACTTTTATCCATGCGCTCTGCTCATCCTCTGCTCGCTCTGACTGGTGCGTCACTCAGCAGCACAGGAGCCGTTCACTATGTACTGTTTCTGGTGGGATGTAATACTTAAAGAGAGAAGAGGGAGTATTGGGGATGGACTGAGAGGAAGGGGAAGGGAAAAAGGAGGAGAGAGTTACACAAGAGGAGAAGTGGGCAGTTTGACTCTTGTTCAGCTGGTCAGTAAATTGATTGTAGGTTCATTATGATAAATAAAACAGTTGTATTTGTCTTATTTTTGATAATTGTACAGGAAGTGATGTTTAAGTCAAACCTTCTCTGTGATTAAAAAGCACTGAGAAAAGATGCATGGAAATATTTAGATTTGTGTTATCGGAGGATCATGGTACCAAGTCAAACTGTGCCATCTGGTGGATCCATTTAAAATCTAAACCAACCGAGGACGGATTTTACTGCAAAACACAGCCCAAATCAGTGGAATCCGTTTAATGTTCTGTCAGGTGTCCTGTTGTCCTTTTTGAATTTGGTCGTATTGTTTAGCTGCATCGTTAAGAAAAAAACAATCTCAGAACATGCTTTTGCTGCTGAGGTTGGAACCAGTTGGTCAAAACTTCTTGAAAGAAAAAAGTGTAAACTACAGTCTATAAATAACCAAACCTTTTTTTTTTCAGAACAAAAACATTTTCAGAGGCTTTCTCCTTGAAGTGATTTTTTATTTTTATTTTATTTTAATACCAGTGAAAGGTGGGAGAAAATTTTATTGTCTGATGAGAAAAAAAATCTAACCCTGACAGTCCTGATGGCTAAAGTGATCCCATCTGAGGTCTTTTCTGCATGGCATAGTGGAGAGGGCACCATCATGATCTGGGAGTGAGACTCTTTCCTTCAATACGACAATAGAGCTTCGGGTTGTGGAAATGGCAGCTGACTATTTATTGTTATTTGGAGAAAACTGAGGGCCATTGGTAATGACTGGATTTTTCAACAGGGCAACCCTGTAGTTCACAGAGTTGACTGACTGATCTCTCCTGCCTTAGAAATTACTTCTTCCAGAGAAATAGAAATAGCATCACAGTTATGAACCATCCTGCATGTTCCACTTATCTAAATCCAACAGAAAACATTTGGAGTTAGATGGCAGTTCCAGACAGGGATGCCCTGTGGGGATATTTCATTAGGATTGTAAACACACACACTAAACTAGTGGTTCCCAAATCTCAACTTTCCTACCTTGGTTTGCAAGAAAGTTTTCATTCCGCCAAAATTACTAGATTAACCAGCTTTTTTAGTAGTTAAATAAAGAAGAAAATCAATTGCTGTAAATAAAAAAAAAAAATAAACTAAACACAAAACTAACATATTTAATTGCTTAGTTTACTGTGGCTGTCAATTCTCCATCTCCATTCCAGCGTTTTATTGTCATTACATTCAGTACTGTTACAAGTACAGAGCAACAAAATTTACTCTCTGCATCTAACCCATCCCCTTGGGGAGCAGTGGGCTGCAATTGTGACTGCCTTTGCTCAGGGAGTGGGAGTCCGTGGGAGTGGGGCTTGAACTAAGAACCTCAGGATTCCAAGCAGACTCCCCAAAGGTCTTGCCTAAGGACCCCCCTGGCAGCTTATTCCCCACCCTGTCCTTCTGTTTGCAGGAGGACTTGAGCTAGCCAGCCACTGGCCTCTTGGCCAGGTCTCCCTTGAAAAAGAGATTTTATCTCAAGGGACTTCCTGGTAAAATAAAGGTTAAATAAAAAAAAAAAATAATAATAATATACTGTATATACTACACTGTATTAGGGTTGTCACAATACTAAACTTTTCAACTCGATACCGATACTAAGGCAAATATTCTATACTCGATACCATTTTCGATACCACAAGGATAAAAACAAAGACTCCAAAATTCAACAGAAATATATTCACTAATAAATAAAATGCAATAAATAAATACAATGGTAAATGGCATGTACTTATATAGCGCCTTTATTCAAGTTAGGAGACTTGACCAAAGCGCTTTACACTACATTCATTCACCCATTCACGCACACCCTGATGGTGGCAAGCTACATTGTAGCCACAGCTGCCCTGGGGCTCACTGACAGAAGCGGGGCTGCCATACACTGGCGCCACCGGGCCCTCTGACCACCATCAGTAGACAATGCAACGACACCGAAAGTTGGAGTCGGGGCTTGAACCGTCAACCCTTCGATTTCAGGGCAAACTCCTACATCCAACGCCACTGTCGCCCCATAACAATAAACACTAAGAACAAAGTTATGAGGTTGTATGCTGTGCACAATATTAAACAAGCTTGATAAAAAACTTATAAATTTTAAATTAAGTGTTCCTTCCTTGGCTATGCTTTGCACACATAACAATGACACTAGCCAAACCGGTTAAGAAACAAAAATAATTCTCAGCAGCTGCACCTGTTACAAAAAGAAGTCTGAAACTGAAAAGTGCACAGAACTATTCAATCACACAGTGTTCTGAAAGTGCATTGTCCTCTATTCTGCACTTTAGATGAATGACTGCTTAGGTGCCAGTGGTGGTAGCACTGTATCGATACTTTTAAAAACGAGTATTGTATCCTGATACAATGTTTCAGTATCAATACTTTTTTGAGTATCGATACTTTTGACAACCCTACACTGTATACACTGTAGTGTACTATATTATACACTACTCTACAAAATAAAGCGAAAAGTTAAATCACAAATCCTTGATCCCAATGAATGAAATATTCCAGCTTAAAATAATTTTTTATTTAATATTTCACTGGATATTGAATTGAGAACAAAATAGTATAAACGTTTTGGAAGTACATCTAACTGATGGAATAGATGTCTGGATTTGAAATATTCCTCGAAATAATTCTTGGAAAACTGCCTAACAGTGATGTTTTTTGTGCCACTTCTGGGAATCCCTGGGCAGGGCACATCCTTTTTATAAGCCTATTCATCTTCTTCCTCTCAGCTACAAGCTGCTACTCCAACATATCTTGCCATAGAAGATTATTGATGTCGTCAGAATGTTCTTCAATTATGATGAGATCAAACATTGCGGAGACACCATAGAGTTACTGGCCTGTAGCTGCTGAAGTCATCTAGGTGTGCAGTCTTTAAAGCTATGGTCCTCTCCTCAGATTCAGACTAGTGTTGAAGATGTGTTGCATGATGCCCCAAAGCTGATCTGCGCAACATTTCAGGAGCCTGGAGGTGAGGCCATCAGGACCTGCAACCTTTTTTACTTCAATCCTTCGTGGTGTGTTCCTCATGGAGTGTGGAAGAAGACACAAAGGGAGGGGGCTGATTCATGGAGTCATCTGGGGAACTGAGAGATATTCAGTTGTGGGCACAATAAAAAGCAGTCGTCCAAGATGAGCAGGTTTGCAGCTATTTGGACTGGGCTGGGGAGAGATGAGTGGCTGGTCAAACCTCTGAAAGCCTATGCACCCGGCTTAAAGGGCCCGTATTATTCTACATTTGAAAATAAAAAAATGTTTACAATGAGACCCTCAGAGCATGTTTTTGCCATTTGTGCCGGACAGCTTTACCAAAAATCTCCTTAGTCTCCTCTGGACAAAATGTTTTGGCTTTCCACGCCCCCGTCCTCCCGAAGGCCGCGTCCCCACTACCCGCAACCATGACAACCAGTCAGAATTCGAACGATAGCCTTGGAGAACAGAATAATGCATAAGATGAAGGCCAAAGCTTCAACAATAGGCTGCTATGGACCGTTTTGGACTGCTTATTTCCCCAGATGACATCATAAAGTGCCTGATTTTTTAAAACAGAGCATTTTGAGAACACATTAGTTAAGAGGTGGAGAAATGCAATGAGAGTGGGGAAAGAGTTTTTGGATTTGTGAATCACATGCTTCAGGAATGATGACTGTTACAAAATGTTTATGAAGTGAATCTGGCATTATATTTGACCTTTAACCTTGCTCCCTGTACTCCATGTTCCCTGTCCCTAATCAGTATCTTAACTGCAACACCAAGGATAACAAAACACTAGAATTACTGAATGTAAATTTTACAGAGGGATAGATCATCACCTCTTCACCCCCTGTGTAGTTAGGATCATAAACCCAGTTCAACTCCAGCCTGTGTATAAACCCCTTTTACGCACAGAACCAGTTTTACCACGTACAGGAAGGAAATGGTCTGGGGAGGCTGAGGAAGCCATGAAAGACTGCTTCAGCACCACTACGAAAGATGAAATCCGCTAACCTCAAGGAGAAGACATTTAAATGGAATAACAGAGTCAGGAATTACATACTATAATTTTCTGTTGGTTGGCTACTGTGCTCTGAATCTGTTTGCTGTTAGCCCTGCATAAACCTTAAATTGGTTGGTGGTAGCGGATGTAAAAAAGGAACTTCAGACTGCTGTGCAGGATTCAGACGCTTTAGATGTTTGAATGTAATTATGTGACGAAAATGCTCATTCCCTCTAAAAAGAAAATGTAGCTCCAACTTAAATTAATTGCTTCAATTTGCAACAAGTAATTGAACTAATTTTGCCTGGTTACAACTTATAAATGTAATAAATTAAGTTGTATTAATTCGATTCAATTACCTGTTACCAATTGAAGGAATTCATTTGCATTGGAGCTGCATTTACTTTATGGTGTGTGGATGATGCTTGCCTCCTAGAACTACAGCACTCTGAGAAAAACATACAAATACGCAAATTATAGAACTGTAGTGAACAGCTTAAGTTCCATTACAAAAAACAATGTAGCATAAACATATGAAGGTGTGTCCATTAACATGTGTCACACAAAAAAATATAATGTATTTTTGATTATTTCCGTGAGGTGATCTGTGCCTATTGTATGTTGTACATGGTGCCATACAAAGGATTGCTTATGGATCCTAAACACCGGATCAGAATGTTGAGATGTCCCTGTGCTAATGAACTTTGATAGGAAGCATTCAGTCTTCACTTCCTAGCTCCTTCATTAATGTTGGCACTATTCATATACCGTAGCACTTATCATGGTAACTGCTGACACACTTCTGCTATAGTGTAAGAGTCCTCACCAGTTTGCTGTATTCGGATGACATTGATTCCATGACCTCTTAGATGTGTTTGACTGGATTCAGGTCTATGAAGGGGCTATTAATTAATTCTATTGCATTAATCTAGCAGGAACTGCGGACACACTTCAACCCAGGCGGTAGAGCATTGTCATGCATCAGAACAAAACCGGGGCCTATTGCTAATGGTTCTGCTGTAAGGGCAGGACCCACTTGGGGCATAAGGCCCTCATACCACCCTCATGGAGTCTGTTTCTTATAGTTTTTGCAGAGGAATAAATATTAGTGGCCTCCTACAAGTTTTTCCACAGGACTCTGGCTAAATTTAGTTTAGGTTGCAGCTAAGGTTATCATTTTAAAACACTGATGCATAGGGACCGAATTCATATGAGCACTTTCCAGCTTTTTTTTTTTATTATTTATACTACACAATAAAGGTTCTTGTTTGTGTGATCTTAAACATAACCTCACAGATTAGATTTGTGGTTATTTGATCAAATGTTAAAATAAGCATTGGGTATGGATACCTTGTAAAGCCACTGTAATTAAGATGTCATCTTAAACTTTAATCTACAAGAGGATTTTTAGATAGTGAAAAAGTAAAGTAAAGCCTACAAGACTCAGTTTACAAAAGGGTGTTTACTTAAAATCAATCTTTTGGACACAGACTCTAAATTTATGGCATATCCAAGCCGCCCTTAAAAAGCCTTTTCCAATTTTCTCCCTGTCATTAAATCAGTTACTTGACTGTCCTCTGCTCTTTTTTCTTATTTAGCTATTCCTCCAGGACAATGGATAAAGAGATGAGTCACCCTCCTCCTGTCTTGATTTTCCCTCCTTTTAATTACACCACACCTAAAGATCTGTGCAATGATGCCTGCAGTGCAGTTTGTACAAGTTAGGTTAATGAATTCTTAAATATACCCCAAATCACTGAGAGAATAAAGACGATGGTTGACTGATCTAATTTCAAAGAGACAGTGGTTTTTGTTCACTCACTTAATTTGTACTGAGACCAAAAGGTGGACTTTTATAAGACTGTTTTGTTTAAATGCCAAGTTGATGACTCTTATATGAAGAAAGAGTTGTGGTGAATGCTGTATTTGCTTTTACTTATATATTTTACTCATACATACTTAGAGTTTTTGAAACAGAAACTTGTCATTTAGGCATCATATTCTCATTAGTTCCTATCAAACAATCAGGACAGTTTATATTTTTTTTTACACAGTTAATACTTACTTCTTAGGTAAAAGTGTCATCATTACATTTTTGTCTTTACAGATATTTGGGCAATGTCTTATTAAAACTGCTATTTAGTTGATTCACTTTTAATAAATACATAATTTAGGCCTATAAATTAAAAATAATTTCTCCTTAGACATGAAGGTGATTCTGGTGTCTTGCAGAGGTTAACCCTTGAACTTTTTCACATTTTGGCTCATTTCATCGACCTTTAATTGAATAAGCGTGTTGGTGTGTGTGTGTTTGTGTCCAGCTCAGAACTGAAGGACCCAGTAATCAAGGTGGACAAACAGATTTCTCAGAACATTTATTGACAACAGAATTGGAGTAAGCGGTGTTGGCGTAAAGGCAGGAACCTCTGCGGTTGGAGACAGCAGGTTAGTGACCACTTCTTTCTAGAACTGAATAATCACAAACGTGCAGGCCACTAACCAGGTCTAATAGTTCAGTCTGAATCCAGAGATAGAGGATGGTTCCAGTGGAGCAGACAAATGTAGACAGAGGAAGAAGCCAAAGTCGGTACCAGTGACATGCCAGGAGGTCAGAGATCTGGTGAGATGCCAAAGGAGAATCCAAGATGGAGTCGGGTCACAGTTCCAGGTGCAGTACACACTGGGCGATCCTAAGCAGGTGTGTGAAATAAGTGATCAGACCAGGCATCAGAGACATATATGGTCATGCACAAAATGTTCCAAAATTTTGTGTATGACCATGTATTATTTTACATAGCAGAGGAACATGTATGCTTTAATTCAGTGACCTTGCATTTTGAATGAAGCAGTATAATTCCTCTGGAACCCACAAAATGTTATCTTTCTTCTGCCTGGATCCTGGAAGGAGAAGCCTCTCTCAGGGTTGTTTTCTTTTTACCTCCCCACATCTGCTTTTCTTTATTGTTTTGCCATATGATGAAAGGTGTATAAAGACTTGTTGCAGAGTGGCTAACTCTGAAGTGTGCCTGAAATGCTTTTTGCCTTTGAATAAACTTACAATGACAAGATCCTTCTTCTCTTACTTTATTGCAATGGTGACTTACTCCTTTGCTTTCCACTTTGTCACTGGCCACACTAATTTTCTCATTATTCCTGCTTCTAATGTCGAACTAACGTCCTGCTAAAAAAATTCCAAGTTGCTACTTTTTTCTGTTGCAAAAACACAACATTAAACTGCCTTATTATTTCAAAACTACCCAATGACAAACTTGATGTGGAATAACCTTTACTATAAAAAAATATGTAGAGACTTTGTCATTCTACTTCTCAAAAAAGTGTCAATAGTCTAAATAAAATGATATTTTTGCGAGCTGTATAAACTGTTAAAGGGGCAAGGTTATGTATTTTTCAGGCAAAAGACAAACCTTTATAAAAACTTTTATGAAAGAAACATGTTTTTATATATTTGCCAAGACTATCTAATTTTATTGTGACAGCATAATATAAGAGAAAGATAATCTGAGCTACTATTGTTTTCGACAACAATACAGCACTACTGACCAAAAACAACCAATCAGAATCAGGAGGACCATCTTAGCGCTGTCAATTACCCGTCAATGGCAGGATCCTAGGTGGTATTTAATTCCAGGATGGAGTCATAGTCAGTAGGAGGAAACTAGATGAAGCTACTATGACAAGAAAATAAAATACATAAAGTTATGGGTAAAACTAACAAATACTGTAGAATGCGTGAATAGAGATGGAATAAAACAGAATGATGAAATGTGGCCCCTATGTCCACCAGCAGCTTAAACTTATAACGGCATAAATATAGAAAATTAGCTCATGATAAATTTTGGATGAAAAGGTAACTTATTTCAGTTTAATATGGGAAAAAGTCAGAATTCTGAGATGAAAGTCAGAATTCTGAGAAAAAAGTCAGAATTCTGAAATTAAAGTAATAATTCTGAGATTAAAGTAATAAATCTGAGAAATAAAGTCAGAATTCTAAGATTAAAGTCATAATTCTGAGAAAAAAAGTCAGAATTCTGAGATTAAAGTCAAAATTCTGAGAAAAAAATCATAATTCTGAGATTAAAGTCATAATTCTGAAATTAAAGTCATAATTCTGAGATTAAATTCATAATTCTGAGAAATAAAGTCAGAATTCTAAGATTAAAGTCAAAATTATGAAATTAAAGTCAGAATTCTAAGATTAAAGTCATAATTCTGAGAAAAAAAGTCAGAATTCTGAGATTAAAGTCAAAATTCTGAGGAAAAAATTCATAATTCTGAGAAATAAAGTCAGTTCTGAGATTAAAGTCAGAATTCTGAGAAAAAAAAGTCAGAATTCTGATTTCAAAAAAGTCAGAATTCTAAAACAAAATACTTTTTTTTTTTTTTTTTTAAGTACCTATATATCGAGACTGTGGCGATTATTACAATTTTTGCAGAATCTTCGGCTCAGACCCCCCCACAAAAACGACAAAAGACAAAACGTGTTTTTGGGGTTCTGCTCTGAACACCTCCTGCCTACTATACCCAGAATGCACCGCGCGGGTCAAGATGGAAGAAACCAGCTGCAGCAGGAGAACAATGTTTGGGCTGTAGATTTTTAAAAACGGAGCCTCTGGGGGTAAAATAAGCGAGCCGCCGCTGCGGATCATGGTCCTGCACCGGTAAGATGATTGTATACAAGCTAATCTTTTAGGATGCTGTGGTTTATAGCCTCGTTATGAACGGAATAAACCAGCGCAGCGCTGAGAGGTTAGCTGCTGCTAAGTTAGCCGCTCCTCCTGTCGAGACGAGCATCATTGTTCGCTGAGTTTAGTTGGGCCGTTTGGTTTTGGGTCAGTCCTGCCCAGAAAACACAACTAAATACTTAAATAACTCATTAGCTAAAAAATAATAAAATACATTAATTATTCAGTTTTTTGTGTTTTATTTATTTATTTTTTTAGCCCCAAATTTATTTCGTCCATTTTTTTTAAATAACTTACTCTAATTAAATATGTAAAAACTAAAATACCGTATATGCAGCTTCAGCTGCTTTTGTTTGGGTAAAATATCTTAAGTTAGGTTGTGAATGTGTCGGGGCGTCTTTGAAAGCAAATGAGCTGCTGTTTTTGTGGCCATATTAATTATTGGCATCACAAAGAAGGGCCCCTGAAAACTGCTGAGCCCAAACGATTAGCAGAGGAGCTAATTTACATCCAACCAGCCTGTGAATGATCTGCTGTGTTACCAGCCCTATGCTCACCCACTAAAATACACCTAAGAGAAAAAGAAGTTAAAGTAAATCCTGTGTTGTTTGCTCTTGTTTTCCACTAAGCTGTTGTGGATCAGGCTGTGTTGCTGCTAATGCTGCATTGGAGATGGGAGCATCTGAATGCAGCCTTCCTAAAAATATATATTTTTATTGCTATTGACTCATTTTTTTTTTAACAATTTCGCAAAATTTTCAATTTAGACCTGGCAAATTTGTTAAAAGTTTGATTTTTCTTTCGATTTCTGATATTATTTTTAACAGATTGTGCATGATTAATTTATTTTGTTAAAATTAAACCCTTTTTATTTAGAGCTATGTGCTGCTTATATTGTTCAAAAACCGTTCAATCAATTTCATGCCTTGTAAATTAGATTTATTATATGTTACACTTCAATTCTTTATATCTTTGTCTTTTTCAATAAGACATTTCAAAAATGTAATTTCTAAAATGTGTTGGTGCATTAAAGATGCTTTTACAGACATACCAAGTTCCAAAAACTCATTTCAGGGAGAAATTCTAATGACGATATGCGCTGGAACAGACATAGTAACTGATAGGTCCTTTGGATCTATTCCATTCTTTTTATAACAAATTCTGTTTTACTAATTATTCAAAAACAATAAGGTGATAGCGTCAGTGGGATTGAGATAGGATCCCAGTTTTCATCTGTTAAATGTTTTGTTTTTTTCCCACAGCAAATAAAAAATGCTCTAATTTTTACAGATGAATTAACAGTTTTTCTTGAATTCAAATTTATAGAAAACAGTATTTTTAAGTTAAATTAAGTCAAAAAAAATGTAAAATTCCTAAATTATAAATGTATATTCACCTCATAAAAAATAGCATTTTTATTGAACCTCATTGAGAAGAAATTTCACTTCATTGAATCTCTTGCCCTGTTTTTATTTCATGCTTTTCTGTGCTCCCATGAAAGCATGCTGCCCCCCTCATGGCCCCTGGTACATTTGGTCTTGATCCGCCACTGTTCCTCACCTTCTCTAGACGTGGATATACTATATTTTTGTTTTTTACTCGAAGGTTGAACCTCTGCTGTTTCACAGGATGCACAGCTTTGAGTGCTAACTAGATGACTGCCAGAGAGTAACGCCAAAATTATCGGGCTGATCCAATCCAATGAGCGCTCTCTGACAACCAGTCACCTGGAACGCTGGTGGAACAGAGCATCGCTTTGAACAGATACGCTGCACAGGTTTCATAGACAACCTCCTCCCCACCCCTGCTCTATCTTGTTGTCTGCGCAATCAAAGTAGTTCTAATCAACACATGGTGCACGAATTATCATACTGCCTGCCCGCTCTCACTCACATAAAAAAACTCCACCTCAAATAATCTAAAATCCGGGATAATTTATCCGACTCGCGGGCATCCGTGAACAACTATCTATATCAGGGAGACTCCCAGAACTTCCAGGAGACTTGGGATGTCTGCTTTTACAAGTTTCAAAGACGGTACCTTGCTTGCAGCACATGGTCATGTAATGATATGTGATTACAAAACGTTATAGACTACATATCATATCAGTCCTATTTTTTTTTCTAATGAATATTATATTTCACTGTAGAAAATCTGAGCTCTGTGGGTAAAAAAATCAATCTAAAAAACGCATTTCTAAAAGTTGAGTTTTTTTTTTTTTTGGCTTGGATTCACATTAATAACAGTTAATAAAAGCCTAACTGCTATCCAAGCATTCTTTGTAGATGACTGTAAACAGAGAATTAAACATCGGGGAAAGGCTAAAGAGTGCGACACTTTGGAGTCTTGGCTAGTGTTACATCACCTTTAGACAATCAGAACTCAATTCTCATGAAAATAGAGGTTGTCAATGGCGCAGTATTAAACCAGCAGCAAGCAGAGCCCAGTCAGGCCTCGTTTTCTATTGTTTAAGCTGCGACTGTAGCTGCATTACTTTTAATAACCCCAAAGACCTTTGGTAGTTTTACAGACAACTCTTTTCTTTTATTTAAGCATAAAAATAACCCAAAAGTAAAACGTTTAATACCATATGTTGCAAAAACATCTGCAGATGTTTGTTGTTCCTCTTGTTAGACAATTTGTTTATGCTGTCGCTGCTTTATCTGATAAACAGTGGTTTTAATGCAGTCTGTATGCACTCTCATTCACAGATAAGCTGGTACAAATAGGATGACTGGGTCAGACGTTCTATCATGCAGATTAAGGCAGCCCCAGTCCCGTCGTTCCTCATATGTTGTTTGGAACATAGTCATGGTGTCTTTATTTTTGTCCAGAAACAGACACTTTACTTAACCCGGCAGAATTTGGTTCCTTTGCTCCTTCACCTTGTTTTCGCATGTCCCAGACACCAGCTCTTTGTTGACCCACAAACTGACGGTTTAATCCGACTAAGCACATCGTTGTTAGATCAGAGGCCACGGCTTTGATTCCTGAAGACCAAGCTTAACTGGCTCCTAAACTATTGTTTGCGGACGGGTTGATTTTACACAGCTTATCCAAAATATGTTATTGTTGCCATAAACATCAGCTCCTCTTTTTTTTCTTTTTTTCTCTTAGGATAAACTTGATTTCTGCCCCTTAGTCTTCCTGCCCACCAGCCATCAGTATGAACATCATTCAAGATAAACTAGGGAATGAGTTCCTGCGCTCCAACGGGAGCATGGACTCCAACTTTGGAGCCGGCATGATAATGTTCAGCCATCTTCCTCCGGTAACCAGCTTCACCCGGCTGTCGGCCCACTCCGTCATGCAGGAACTTCCACCTCAAGATCTGATCCTGAAGAAGGAGCGGGAGTCTCCTGACTGCAGCATGGGCTCCCAGGGCTGCCTCCAAGGGGGAGACTTTGTTCATGCCATGGGCATCAAACAGGAGAAGCAGTCAGAGCACGATTACCGCCTGCCGCTCTACCCTGGAGGGCTGGGGAAGAGCGGGGAGCTGGTGACTGTTGGTAACGACCAGAAGCTGCTGGTGTGCGACCTTAACATTGGAAATGTAGGTACCAATGACAGACCAGTGGAAAGATGTGGTTTAAAACTAAATGCTTTGCTTTGAAAGTTAAATCCCTTCTATTGATAAAAGGTAAAGCATCTGAGAAAATAATTACATTGATGATGAGATTTTTGTAGTGAGACAATGGAGTGCATGTTCATTAATAATTGTTAAAATTTATAATCCCCTAATCCCCAACCTTGCATCTGGAATCTGTGGAAGATGCTCAAATTTTTTTTTGTCATATATTTAAAGTAATAAAAACAGTAAATTGACCTCATATATGAACAAAAGGCAAAAAAAAAAAAAAACTTATGTCCTAAATAAAAAGTGTGTTGTATTACTGTAGGAGAGAGGAATTTCAAAATTTGTGAGGGAGAAAGAGCATCATAAAAAAACCCTCTAAGTTAATTTCAAGTATTAATCAATATTTTACCTGAACCTAAATTTAATATAAAAATTGTTTTAAATTATCAGTTTTAACAAAAATGTTGCAGAGGAGCCCACAGTGGACACAATGAATAAATGACAATGGCTGTGGGTGAGTCATTACAGGGAGAATCTATTCAAATGCAACTCAAGACATTACATTTAAGCTATGCTTATGGCCTCCTTTGTAATCCAGGGCTGGTAAAAGCCTCAAGAGGGGTCTGATAGCTCGCTAAATAGTTGGGAACAATGTTGGATTTAGGCAAACTTGGTGCCAGTGATCTAGTTTAAAATTGCTTTGTAGCCCCTCATCCATCCATCCATCCATCTGGCATAAGCCAGATTAATATGTGTTGTTCATGTGGAATTTTACTAGTTTCCATCTGGGAGGCCTAATGTAAAAAGAGTTTACAAAACTGAGGGGCCATCTATGCATTCTCTCCTGCTTTAGTTCTTGTCAGGGTGGGCAGGTCGCCAGTCTGTCGCAGGCAAACATAGAGAAACACAGACATACAACCATGCACACACACACTCACACCTAAGGAGAATTTAGAAAAAAGCCAGTTAACCTAACAGTCATGTTTTTAGACTGTTGGAGGAAGCTGGAGTACCCGGAGAGAACCTACGCATGCTCAGGGAGAACATGCAAACTCCATGTAGACAATACTGTGGGCCAGGAATTAAATCCAGAAGCTTCTTGCAAGGCAGCATTGCTATCCACTGCAGCATCGATCAGCCACAAAAGTGAGGGGCATTCAGTACAACTCTTCAAGCTAATTGGGTACCTGTCTCCCATGTCAAGTTTTTAGCCAATCGCAGTAGCAGCTGTGACATATCACATTATTTGTTTCACAACTGACGGAGTTAGTCCACAAATTTAAGAACCTCGTCCTTTTACTCATTTTTCAAAAAGAAATGGAGGGTATTCCAGCGCGAACCAGTGCAGCCATGTTTGTTTTGCTATAGCCTTCTGCCTCTAGTTAACAAGTTGATGTCACATATGTCCCTGCATTTCATGGGTACGAAACATTTCTGCATCAAGCTGATGCACCTGTTTGCTCCTAGAAAGATGTATTTCCAGGATTTTGTGAATTCGCAAACCTTTTTACAAACCATGTCGTTTGCCAGGTAAATATTAGCTTCTAAATACGTAGAATGGATGTTAGAGGTGTTTCCACACAATCTTTTTCATTTCCAGTACGATGCAGATATCGAAGCTTTGAGATTTGACCAAAAGTGAAATTGACCTGATACAATATTAGCATAAATCGTGCATTCTTTAAATGCTTATTTTGTTTTGCTTAACATTAGAGAAAACTTCATCAAATCATATAACTTAAAAAACTGATTGATTTATTAATACCTGATATGTAACATAAACTTTAACCAGAAACGAAGAGAAGCAGATTGTTTCTATTTGCATGCTTACTTTGGAGATCTGATTCGATATATTCCAGGTCTCGTTTTTTGGCTGATATCAGACTGATTTTCGATATCGATACAGAATCAAGACATCCCTAATTAAAGTTTAAAACTATTTGAAAGGATCAAGAAGTATGGCAAGATGAGACTTAAAAAGTATGTTTGTTGCTTTTGTATAAAAGTCCTGAAGTGTTTTGTAAGCTAAAATACCAGAGTGTCCTCCAAAGTGTCTTTAGATCATATCTGTAGCCTTTGTTTGATGTCTGGTCTTCTGTCCAAAATCCAGTCAACCTCCTGGTTAGGATGCGCCTGGTATGAAGGTAATTATCATGATGCTTTGGCCCAAAAAAATGCACAGAATTAAGAGTCAGAAGGAGGAGGATAAACTGTTCAGTGAAAGATTATCTGCTAATTAGAGTTAAAACAAGAAAAAGCTAACTCTGGGTTTGTTAGGAAACGGGGACTAAAGTAAATCCCCAAAACTGAGATGATTAAAATAATTTGGGTTGATAAAATGTCTCCATGCACTTCAGTTCTCCACCAACATTTAGGATAAAACAGAGAGAGTATCCAAAACGGGCTAGCTAAAAGCTTTTTAATGCTTCAGCTCTGAGTTAGTTCCTAGGTTGTTCATTGGATCCAGTTAAGAAACACTCTGGCATCAACATTTTTTAAGCACCAGAAAAAAATACTTAATCTTAAATTAATTTGAGAAAAACTAACAAAACTCCATCTCTTAGTCAAAATTAACTCAGCTGAAACAACCAGAACAGATAATAGAAAAACCTTATTATTTTATTTCTCGGGGTTTTTCCTCACTTTGCTCATTTATAAACTGATCCATCTGAATTGGAGAGGACATTTTGGCAAATTATTCTTCGAAATAGGAGTTTTTTTCTATAGGGAAATTATGAATCAACAAAATCTTAAAGAGGTTTAACACAAGCTTAAATCTGAGACGTCTCCATCACTAAAACCAGGTTTGTGCTCCAAAAATGTTTTCATAAACTTGAAATAAAGCAGTTCATTGAATTGTCTTTCAATCAAAAAAAATACTCTTTCATGGAGCTCTTCACCGTTTTCTCTGAAAATTAGATTTTTTTTCCAGCTGCACTCTTCAGCATACATTAAAGAAAAAAGTGAGAATAGAATATTATTATTCTGGCGATTCCACCTTTATCCCCGAGCCGGCGATGCATGATGATTGTGTTGCCGTCCAGAAGCCTGTGAGAATCTAACGTATGGAGACATAAATCTCCTGCCGGCTTCAGATGCAAAGTAGTTTCTCTCTCTGAGCAGAAGGGTGATGTCATCTGGCCACAGCGTGAATGAGAACGTCTTTGCAAGGACGCAGCTGTCTTGTTTGAGTTTGCACTTCATTTCAGATGTCTTTTGTGCTCATTCAAACAGAAATATACACATCCACACTCTGCTAACAATAGTAAGCCATCAGAGGTCATGAGGTCTGAATATTTAACAGATTTAATGATTGTCTTTTTTTAAGCAAGTTTTTTGTTTTGTTTTTTAAGAAATTATGCTGGGTTTAAACACAATAGATTGTTGCTTTCAGACTTAATTTTTTTCAACTTTGACCAGTTAAGTGTTTTAAAGCAATTTTCATTTTTTAAAAACCTAAATCAAAGATTCCGGGTTACTATTTAACTGTTGTTTAATAGTTAAGTTCAGTCATATTTCTCTCATGTATGTCCTAATTTTTATTTTTAAGCAGATTAAACAGCATTTTTGACTTAATATTTATGAGTCGGACCTGTTTTCACTCCAAACATTTGGCTGCTTTTAGGATGAGCAGGTGTGCCTGCATTTGTTCCTTCAGTCTCCATATGTTCAGACTGGATAACGTCTGGAAGAAAGAGCGAATTATCGTCCTCTGGATTGAAGTTGCTATCCAGCCGCCTAGTTATCATTTTAAATGCCTCAATCAGTTGAGATTGTTACACCACCCACTCAGGTCACATTTCCTCAATGAGTCTGGAAGATTGTCGGAGTGTTGCGTTTCTTTGCACGAGCTACAAATATAGACTTGTTTCCTTAACAGCTTCTGACTGGAGAACCTTAACCTTCTTTCATGTGATTTCCTTGTTGCGGCTTGCTCTCACGGCCCTCTCCCTCTTCCTTTGTCATCCTCGCAGCTGTCAAATCAGTTGGAAAAAGAGGCCAGTTGGAGGAAAGGTCGGAGGTCAAACAGTGATGGGCATGAGGGTAAACCTAAAAAGAAGAAAAGTGAGGCAAAGGTTTGCTACTCTTTATCTATTTCTTAGTGTTGTGGGTCCTGTTCAGTCCTCTTTGTTTTTCATTGCTAGTCTATAAAATCTTTATTTAGTGAATTTGTAAAATATTCAGATTATTTAGACACAACTTTGGACTCCTTTGTTATTATTTTGATTGTCTTTCCACTATAGCTTAATGTCAGCTCAGACTTTTCTAAACTACCTGACCATTTAAACACAATGCTTGTTCTGAAAGGTGCAGCTCTATCTGTAAGTATCAATCGCAACAAGCTAACCTGGGATTTAGCCATCCCCTCTGACTAGATCTGCTTTTCTCTGTATTCAAACAGCATTCTATGATGGCTGCAGACGGTGGCGGCCTGTCTCCAGGAACAAAGCCTCACATCTGTGAACACTGCAATGCATCCTTCAGAAGCTCCTATCACCTGCGCAGACATGTCCTCATTCATACAGGTTAACACTTTCTTCATCATTCAAGATCAGTTTTCATTAAAATTATTTATGGGATGATTTGAGCTATTTTCTACTCAAATGATTCCAACCATCTGCTTATTGAGAAATTCCTACCTTTTTAGCCATTATCTTGGGAGAAATGTTCTACTACTAGTTTTTTTTATTTTATTTTATATTTCCTTCTTAAATTTCCAAGATTTTTTATTTATTTTTTTTTTTGAGAAAAGAATTGAAAACTCCAAATCCCAAATGAATAATTCATTTTTTTTATTATTTTTTATATATATATATCCGGCTGAAGTAGGTTTTAGACAAAGACTGATATGTCTTTGGGGAATAGAAAATGCAGACAATTTTTTCTGTAGTTTTTAAAGAGCAGATTGTTTTTATTGTTTAGACGCCATATGTTGTTAGAAATCTTCAATAATCCTGGATAAAGTGAATCTCTGTGTGCCAGGGTTGTATCATGGGATATACAAACATTACAAACAGTGAAAGAGTTCAGCTTTAATTAGCGGCAGAAAATTCATGGCACGTTTTTTTTCTTTGTAAAAGCTGTTCCAGTGCTTTATGAATCTGTTTTTAAATGACCGTTTCTTTACACCCAGTTACCTGTCTGGGCTCCAACTTTTGATATTTTTCTTGATAATAAACCACCATGCTTGGCTGTAGTTTTCCTTCATGGCCTGGGTATTTATCCTCTGGTTTTCATTTCAAATAAGTAAACAAAACACTAATGAGCAATTCTCGATAAAGACTGATATAGAAGGCTGAATGTTTTAGCCACATTGCTTAGCCCTATTTAGATCTCAGGCTTATGGTAGATAGTTAAAACATTAAAAAAAAACAAAAAAAAAACTCCAAAAGAGAATTTTTTTTTTTATTGAAATATTTAAAACATGTAGTTGAAATGGAAAAACTGATTTATATAACTGCCTGTGTTTATAAAAATAAAATATACTAATATTATAGTTATATGCCCTTCGCTTTTATGTTTATCTTTTTTTTTTTATCAATCTTGCAAACAAAAAAAAATTAGTTTTTGTATTTCCAATTCACATTGTTTCCGCGGGTCATTAAAAATAATTAAAAGTCATTAAATTATTTTTTTAATTAAGGCCTGATTTGGCATTAAAATTTATCAAATGCGATAATTTTGGCATTTAAAATGCTTTATTTAGAAAGAAAAGTTTATAAAAGCAATTTATTAAACAATATATACATTTGCAAATATATTGCAATATATTTGTGCGGAACTGCTTCCGGTTGATCATAAAGCTTTATGTTTGGAAAGGAAGCTCGCTGCGGAGAAAAGGCTGGAGAATGGGGAAAATGCTAATTTCAACAAAAGTGGCTGGAAATAGAGGAATTGCAGCCTGTCAACGGAAAAGATGAAGGAATTTGCTGTGTATATATGAGAGTCATGGGTATTTGTTGATGGCATTAAAATTATTTCTAAGAGCATTAAAAATCATTAAATTAGAGTTAATCATTCCTGTATAAACCCTGATTCAGCTGTAATTGAACCAGGTTTTAAAATCATCTAGTTTTGAGTTGTTGTTTTATGTATTCACA